GGACAGAGACTCCTCGGGCCAATATACCAGACTCGGGGTGTAATTAGGGCTTGGGTTTGGATCAAGAATAGATTTTTATTACCAAATAATGCCCTCCTACTACTTGAAAGGTTAGGACAGAGACTCCACGGGCCAATATACCAGACTCGGGGTGCAATTAGGGCTTGGGTTTGGATCAAGAATAGATTTTTATTACCAAATAATGTCCTCCTACTACTTGAAAGGTTAGGACAGAGTCCTTGGAAATACGGTTCCCATAGTCTGTTACTAATTCTTCCATTGGCTTCTACCTACCACAACAGATCACCTAGCCGACACATGATTGCACTTGGTTCTCTTTTCATACGCAATGCAACCTCGTTTCTAGTTACAGTCCGTGTTGTGTGTCATCCAAGAATGCGATTTTTCAACATTATTCATGCTGTCGTGTCTTTGATATGCTATAGGGTGCTGATGTCATGGTGCGGGCTACAAAGAAGTCGATGGTGGACGAGCTAGAAGCAATGCTTGACGTCATTGATCCCCAGCCTGTTGGGAAGAGTGCATCAATGAGGAGGAGAACGTTCGACATGCCTGACAGTGTCATTCAGAAAGAACTGGCGGCTGGCGTGGCGCAAGTTGTGCAAATGATTGATGAATCGAATGGCGCCGAGACCTTCGAGGCGTGCTTGTGAGTCGACTGATCGATATGGGAACACTCCTACTTGCTTGCCTTTTGGTAGGATTTGGATGGTGTTTTAAGTAATTACTAATGTGACCTTTTGGGTAATGGAGATTATGTGGAGTAGTATGTGGATGATGAGGTTCTGCATGCCTGTTTATTAAGGTGTTGTGTAGGGTCTGAGCCAGACCCATTATTGGTAGAGTTTTTGATGAGGTGTTTCGGCTTCTAGAGACATTGTGTTTGGTGTTTGATTATGTGACCTTAATGTTACTTTGCAACCTTCTAGTGTGTTAATTGTTGTGCATTAAGACTACTAGGATTGCTTGTGTTACACATTCGCCCTTAAAAGGTGAAATCGCTTGCCCTAGGGACCCATATCCCGACTCGACAGAATGGTTGAGGGAGGGGTAAATTGTAGTGAAATTACACCTTTTTACTAATCTTTTAAATTTATATAGCCTAAATATTTACAAATTTTAATGTCTTTCTTTTTATTCAATTATACACACACACACACAAACATGCACATCCACTCACTAGAAGACCCCGGCTGATATTACATAAAAGCTAAATTTATTCAATGTACAACCTCAAAAAGTGACAGTCAGCTTCCCTTGTCACTAAAAAAGAAGGCGACTCAAAATCAGTTTCCACAAGATCTGCAAAAACAGATATCACAATTTCACCAATATTGTGTAATGTGATGACATCTCTATTATCATTCAAAATGGGTAGTGTCATGAGTTCAAGTCTTAGTTGGGGTGATATTGACTCTTTGTGCTTCAGTAGGTTGAGAAACTAATTATAAACATATACTGCATTCTAACAGAGTTAGTAGTACTCAAAATAAAAAAACATATACTACCTTAGAAACAAAACAAATATCGCAACCTCAAAAATTAAAATGAGGGCCGGCTAAAATTGTTGGAGTGAAATGGCCCTTCGAACGTGGGCCAATAGTTCATATTTAATGCGAGTGTGATATAGGCCCGATTCAATCATGAAATTAACTCGATGGACCGGGCTAATAAGATGCTCTATTACTTCAGTAGAACATTACACTTTAACCGGGCATTTGATAAGAAGGAAGGAATTAAGGGCAAAAGAATTATAATTTTGGAGAAAAAATATGTGAAAATAAAGTATGAATTGAAATTACATGATTTAATTTGGTAGAAAGGAATAGAATTACTGGAAATGAAAAGGGATAAGTGATATAAAGATTAAAATGTACGCCTTTGTGTATAATAATATATATATATATATATAATATATATATATATATATATATATATATATATATATATATATATATATATAGAGGGGCGCACTCTCATGCGAACGTCCATCCAGGAAAGAACTGAGAACCATCCAGCGCGCGCCAAGTGTTCTTTGGTGCATGTAAATGTGTTATATGCGCAAGTAGTTAGTGCAGCATTTCAAGTAAAAAGTGCAGGTAAAATCACTAACAAGTGCACATACTTTCACTTGCAAGTGCATGTGATTTTGTCTTGTTAACATTCATTGATCTGAGTTCGTTATGTTTAGTATTGCTTTTGTTCTTGCGGAGGAGTTCAGCGGGTAGTTAGTACCCGTGAAAACCACCTGCAAATTTTCATGCACCTAGGTGCACCTACTTATAACTATAGGTGTACCTAGTTATAACTATAGGTGCATCTAGATCTAGACATGTGACACGGGTTGGTTCAATTATCTCTTGGACAGACAGTTCACACTTGAACGCAATTATATATATATATATATATATATATATATATAAATTTAGATCCGACCTATATATATATATATATATATATATATATATATATATATATATATATATATAAATTTAGATCCGACCATTGATAAAGAATCGGCCAAAAAGTATATCCAAGCAATAGGAATAGAGGAAGAATGTTAATGGTGGTTAGTGAGGCGGCAGTGCGGCAACCCGGAGGGGAACACACATAATAGCACTCACATGGGATGTGGTTTGAGGAGAGGCTAATGATGTTAGCTTCATTCACACACAACACACACACACACTCTTACATACATACGCCTATAATTACTGTAGTTATATATATCCATGCCTTATGCCTATCATCCAACCAGTAAACTCCATTCATCATTATTCATTCTTCAGCAGGTCCCCCATTTCCATGCCACACCAACAACACATGCACCCTTTTCTTCTTCTCCATCTCCGATCCTCTCTAGGGTATGTATGTAATTGGCTGCAGGGTGACTGACACGTTTAATTTATTGCAACTTATAGAGTTAATTAACTCATATCCAAGATCATGAGTTAGATATTCAGTGATATGTATAAATAAATAGCTATCGAAATAATGTAATATTTATTGTGTATGTCTCATATATTATTGAAAGATGACAAGTGTTAGAGGGCAATAAGTAAAACTTAAAGCAATAAACTACAAAGAGTAAATACTCAAAATAGTCCCTCGACTATAGCTAAATTCACAAATTGGTCCTTGACTTTTAATTTTAACTAATTAAGTCCTTTTTTTGAAAGGTGGCCAATAAGGCATATATTAAAAGTACTCAGAAATAGAGTCTGGGGGGACATCGTCCAAATACATAATCGTAGAATAATTAAATGCAGAAGCCGCTAAACTATGAGCTAAATAGTTCTCCGATCTAGGAATAAAATTAACTGAGCAGTAATCAAAAGCGGTAATGCGTGCTTTGCAAGCACTAATAGCGTAGCCAACATAAGTCCGAATCGTGACAGCTTGATTCGTCAAATATTGTTGTAGGGTCAAACAATCTGTGAGCAAGCGTACAGAGCGTTCCCCACGATTCCATAACCAAGACAAAGCTTCCTTACATGCTATCGCCTCAGCCATAAGCGGGGAGAGACAATCTGATAAGGGTGCACTGAATGCCGATACATATTCCCCTTCCTCGTTCAACAAAATCGCGCCAACCGTAGCTTTCCCTGTAGCCAGCATAAACCCGGCATCGACATAACATCTCCGTATCGGCTCGGTTGCCTCCAGCCGTACTCCTTCCTCGGCAGCCACAAGGGCGACAGCGGTCCGTTGCTGCTGCTGCTGTGCCGCGACAGTGGCGGTAATGGGGCCCTGTGCGGCTACTTGGTGGTTTGCTTGGCGATGGGTCGGGTGGGTACGTTGCCATGCAAGTGTGGTGGCTTCGGCCAAGGCTATCACTTTCCGTGGTCGCGGTAGACATGCATCCCATACCGCTCTGTTTCTGGTCCTCCAACTAATTAAGTCCTTAACTTTGCAATTTTAACACGATTTGGTCCTCCGTCTATTTGACCGTTTGTTGACTGTGATTTTTGAGGATATATATGTAATTTCATGGTCCATCGTCGATTTTTTAAGGTTTCGGTTGCATTTTCAGATCGCACTGTTACATTTGGATCCACCGTACCGCCGAAAGCAATCTGCCAAATCCTGTCGCCTTTCTTCTTCCTCCCTTTGGATTCAATGTAGTTAAGTTCGTACCAGAGTGAAGAAGACAACGTGTTTCCGAACCGGTGCAGCGTCATCCTGGAGGCTTCCATGTGCAACGATGAGAGCTGCAGGTTCTTCCGGAGATCGTCGATGACGGCGCGGGCGCGGGCGTTAATGCAGAAGTGTTCGAAGGACCAAATCGTGTTAAAATTGCAAAAGGACTTAATTGGTTAAAATTGAAAGTCGATGACCAATTTGTAAATTTAGCTATAATTGAGGGACCATTTTGGGTATTTACTCAACTACAAATAATAAAAGTTCTACTCCGATCCCCTTTCATGGACATATAGGCTCTCGGCCCATGTAAACTCTTCTTCTTGATTTTTTTTTTTTTTTGATCTCTTGATCCCGTTTTTGTCATCAACACATCTCATACTGAGATGAATCGTTGAGTATAATACTTGCTCCATGCAAGTACATTTCTTCAATTACTCGTTGCTCATTTATTTATATTTCTTAACTATTTCCGGTGTTGATTAATTAGGGTTAGTTAGTACCTTCACTTAAAAATCCACATACCAAACTAAAAAGTGTTAATGATAATAATTCAAGAATAATATTCATTAAGAGGCCACCATTCAATTAAGTTAATCAGATAATTGAATTGGTAATTAATTTAATTAATTATATAGTTTCAAATTCGACCACCGTATATTACTTCGGCGAAACCCTGATTAACGCTCGCAGGCCGGCAAGGTCCATTGACTTGGGATTAACGTAACTTTAATGTTGTCGTCCTAGGATACCCTATCTTGCGAAGTAAATTGTGTAAAGTTTTCCAGAGATTGTGGTCAATGAGTGGAGAAGACATTTAGCTAATGAGTATGTCGATTTTTCATTGCTTCAAAAAGGGCTACCAACCTTCCATATTTGATCTGTCTTCAATTCCTACCTGCCACCTTTCATCCCAGCTGTGAATTCAATTCGGTTCTCTTCGACATTTAGCTAAGGTTTTGCATACATTTTTTTGTTTTTTAACCTTAATTTGAATCATCAATTCCCTCATCCATGGCTTCCACATTTTCATAAAGGACTGAAGCTATATATACATTTCACAAGTTCAATTCGTCTCAGCTTTCTGGCAATCTTTCTCGCTGTAAGTACTGTGATTTTTGCAGGGTAATTAAATACCTTCATCTTCTCCAGTAACATCAATCTTCAATTCTATCGTATGATCTCTTCCCTTCTAATTTTCTGAAAATTTTATGTATATTTTTCCAGTGACCCCTGCTAAGTTGGCCAATGAGAGCGGTCTATTGAACTTCTCGGTTTGTGCCGATCAGCTAAGCTAAGTAGTGGTTGCACGTTTCCCTAATCATTTGAAAATTCTATGTATATTTTTTGCCTGCATGCAAGGCCGGTGCTTTGAAGTAAAGTCCATATTTAGCATAATGCATATGTTTTTGCTGCATTCACCATACTTGCAACTTTAATTCTAGGCTGATATATCCTATCTAACCTGTATATATTGTTCTTGAAATGAAGAGGCATAGCTTCTTTAATAATGTCAAGAAGATTATTTGTATTTTGTACCTGCATCACACTATATATAACCGAGTTTTCGAGATTATTTTATGATCACATTTCTTGGGTTGTATACAAATAAATAAATAAAGAAGAGTTACTAAACAATAATTATAATAGTTGGTTAACATAGTATTATTGGTATAACGGGTTACAAGAAAGTGAGCAACCCATGCCATTCATATTGAGTTGTTATACCATAGTTTTGTTAATATAAATTGTGTTTCTAAGTCAAAAACACATAACAACTGTAGAATGGAATGGGTGAATACAATACAAGATCATCAAATCATAATCTGTTAATATTGTGTGAGTGCGCGCAGTATTTGAAATGAACTTGTGAATATAAAATAAGGTAATCAATTACACAAGTATGTTAACATTGTGTGTTCGTAGTATACAAATTGTGAAATTTTAAAAGGTAAATTGTGAGGATTTGGACCCGGATCCACAGAATAATTTGCAATTCATAGTATCCAACATTCTACTTATTTGGTATTACTATACATAGCACTCGATATATGTAAATTTTTTTTATTGAATAAATCGGAGGCCACCAAACGTTGTATTCGGCCCCATTATGTTGTGTCTAAGGAAAATGATATATGGATTCTCATAGAATAAAATTTTCTTCACATTTCTTCATTTTATTAATAAAAAAAAGAGTAAAATAATAAAAATTGCCTGTCACTTTTTTCGAGATGAATTAGAACATGTGATGTAAACTTGAATAAAAAATAGACTAAAATTTGAGAATATATTTACTATTACTCCGTGTCTAAAGGCACAAGTGTTGCCATAGTAGTAGTATATAATACTAAGTGTCTTTTGTCTAAAGATAAAGGCACTATTTTAGGCAAGTGATTGGAGCCCCATATTGTAAGTTGGCTAGATTTTGCAAGAAATAATGTCAGGACTTCATATCCCCTACCTTAGAAGTCAAGTCATATACAATTATACATGGATCGCTAAGAGTGGAAACAGGAAAAAACAAAATATATCAAAAGCGACAGTCTTAACCTTAAAGAATTCTTCATTAATGTTAATATTATGACACTACCAAAATGATAGCTTCCCAAAACATCATAGTTTATCTGCCCTTATTGTTCATCCTACTTCAATTCTTTGCCCACAAAAGGACAAAATTCCTTTGCCTCCAGGTCCCTACACCCGGTCTGATGTGATAGGTAAATCACTGTAACTCAATGGTCATTAGATAGGATCGGATCGAAGAATAATGTTTAGGTGCTTACAAGGAACCAAAACATTGGATAAAACTCCAACATTACGGATCCAAAGCTCGGTCCTGTATCATTATATTGTTCACGAGAAGTAGTTTTTAGTAATGAAGAAAGGTAAACATTGTGGTGACAATATTATTATAACTAATAATAGCTAAAGGGAGACAAATTAAAGAGTATTTGGTCCTTGGAAGTTGGAATTACATAAGAAATAGACATAATATTATTCTAGAAATATTACTGAGAAAATATTCAACAACAGATATTTAAACATATTCTGCAGGTCTACACCACTGTAATTAATGTCGACCCATCTTCTTAAGATAAATCTTTTTTTTTTCTTCTTTAAAGTAATTAATTATCTCATTATATTGTTTCTTAACTTAATTACTAGGGGGGAAGAAATAAACTTTTATTATGTACACATTGACTTGCATGCATATTTTGTTTTCATCTGGAAGGGGCGTCTGTACTGTACGTAGTTCCTACAATCAGTATGTACCGTTTGGCATTTGGATTCGAGAGATTTGGTTCACTTCCATAGATCAATCTGATGGTGATGAGAGGTTGACGATGATGTCGAGGCGTTTTCCGGCGCCGGGTCTTGCTTGTTCAGGTCGTCGGAGGTTTGGAAGATGTTGCCGGCGGCGTTTGCATAGTCGTCGGTGGTGGGTCCCTTGGAAGCCTCTTCCTGGCTGAGCTGTGACGCGACGAACTTGTCGAGCACTCTCCAATCCGTGACGTGATATGCCGCCGCCGCCGCCGGTTCGTGGCCGCCGAGGATGTTGTTGTTGTTGTTGTCTACGTACATGGGATGGATGTTGTGTCCGCCGCCGCCGCCGACGAATGCGGGGATGGGAGCGTAGGTGAGGCCGGGCGGCGCGTGGAGGAGCTTGTTTGGGCTTTCAAGGAGCGGGAGCTGGAGGAATTGTGGGTGGTCGGCGGCGTTGACCGCCGGCGGGTATTGAAGGTCTAGCTCCTTCTTGCAGCGGTAAGGGAATTGGGTGGCGTAGGTACTCCGGCCGCCGGACTGGTGAGGGTGTTGCTGGGTTGGGGAGTCCATTTCCGGCATGAAGGAAACTTGATCGTCGTACCATATCGGCGAATCATGATCGCTTTCTCTCCTCATTGTCGATATCCTCTTCTTAAACACTCTGCAAACCACCCACCCTTCTTCCTGCTTCAATATATTCACCATAGTTTAGCACCATAAATGTAACTGGTAATTAAATCCAGATAAACCAGTTTAAGTTGTCCAATTAAAATGGCCAATTGAAACATGTGTTTCCTCTCAACTAAAAGTCTAAGTTAATAGTTGAATTGCACATTAAAGTTATATGATCAAGGCCAGACCAACCAAACTTATTAGGCAGTTAAACTTGTAACTTTATAGGTTGAAATAAAACGAAAAGAAGAGGATAAAATAAAAGTTAATTACCTGAGGGGTACCATTTGGATCAGATTCAAGACGATATTCATGCATGATCCAATCAGATTTCTGACCATTTGGAGCTCTTCCTTTGTAAAACACCAAAGTTTTCCTCATCCCAATCAAATCATGCTTAGAATAAATAGCTTTGTCCCTTCCAGTTGCCTTCCAGAACCCAGCGGCTGTCGCCCTATTCGTGCGCGTTCCTGTCGGATACTTCTTATCCTTATGGCTAAAGAAATACCAATCGTTCTGCTCTTCTGTTCCTATCCTGCATAGCTCTACATACCCACAATTATATTGTTCACCATCTATCTCAAAATATTGATAATTAAATAAAGAAGGATAATAGTCGCGGCCTATTAGCCTTAATTTCTTGGTTTCAGTTGATCCAGCAACTTAATTAGCTAGGCATGTTTAACTTCAGGGTTATAAGGCGGGATTTATCCGTACAGGTACCCCTTTGAGTTGTGGCCGAGGGTTTAAATAAAGAAGGATAGATAGATATAAATGAAATACCTTGAAGATCCCAGGGCTCAATCTTGTAGAGATCAACGTCTTTGATGACATCTAGGTCAATCCTTCTGGAAGAGATCTTCTTCCTGAGGTAATAATCCACGAGTTCTTCGTCAGTGGGGTGGAACCTGAAACCGGGAGGAACATGCGCGAAGGAGTTCATCATCCTATGTAGCTTCAATTGTCTCACAATTATGTCCTGCACTGTACAACAATACCTCATTAAAAAAAAAAAAAACATCATATCCCAAAATATAGATCATAAGGAATGGGATTCATATGAGTTTATCAGAGCACACACCCATTTGTATTCTTTTATCCTTTAATTTACGAGAAAAGACACAACCACTAGCTAATAGGCTCATTCCTGGTCAATTCTTTCATTTGATTTTCAATTTCTTTGATTAATATCGTCTATATATGTAACTTTAATTTTATTGAACAAATAATGAGATATTTTCAACACGGATCTAGAATCACCTTAGTGATGGATTTGATTGAAAGGATATGATATTGACAATAATCAAATTAAACTCGTAAACTTATGATATAAGAGTCATGTTTCATGGCCGCCATTTTTTTTAGGGCTGGATGTAAGATTAATTCTATATACTCCTTATTAATTAAAGAACTCCAAATTATCTTAGAAATTAATTAATTAGTAGTAATATTAGTTCTAATCTGGAAAACTTTTATTAAGTACTATACAGAAATAATTAGGGAATGCAATAATTATAAAGGAAATTAAATTACAAATATCATAATAACATCTTAGGATAGGTTAAGAAATTTCTGAAAACTGAAAACTATGATATATATACTACACTAATTAGAACTACATACTATATTACCACTATATCCAGTAGACTGATGGATACAGAAAATATGAAATTAGGCTTTACATATATATAGTAGTACTGTAATAATGATATAAGTTAATTAAAGTAGGATTAATATAATTAATGAGATCCATTGCACAGAAGTGAAAATAGATGGATTATATTACCCTTATCCTTTAATATAAACAGATTATTGCAGATGCCATGATATTGTTGGGGTAATTATAGACTTATAGATATGATCATTCAATCCATAATAACTCAACAAACATAGAAAACCCCAAACTAAAAAAAAAAAAAAAAAAACATTTCCTGAATCTTGCACACAAAAAGTGAAATTCCCTAGCCTTCAGAGTTCACATTTCCTGAATCTTATACCAAGTGAATATGAGTTTATCATATAAAATCACATCATGTGATATAAGATTTGAATGCAAGACAAGAAAGCAGATATGGGATCTTTCCAGATGAACAAACAAACCTGGCCTGATGAATCTCAGTGGTATATATCCACAGATCTTGAAGAGAAGATAATGAAGCTGCAACTACTATATTTAGAAACTGTATCTATATATCTCCCTCTCTCTCTCTCTCTCTAGACAAGAAAGGAAAAGACAGTAGAAAACCTATGTTGTCTTCCTCGGGACTACAAACATCAGCCGCCGTTCAAAGGTTTACTGTCTGTCGGCCGGATCGGATCCCAAGGAATTCAAGAAGAGACAAAACGGAGGGGAATTGAAGAAGGGGAAAGGGGCTGAATGGAAGAAGGGAGAAGGAATAGGGATACATAAAAAGCCCCCCCCACCAAAAGAGCAATGATGGGTAACAGGGAGAGTTTGTTGAAAAACCAGAGAGATAGAAAGAGAGAGAGAAGAGAGAGAAAGAAGAACCCTAATGATGAAGGATAATATGCAATCTAACTCTTCACTGTACTATATACACACCAAAATTTCCTCTTTTCCTTCATATCTGCTTTAAAGCTTTATCTCTCGCCATCTTTATCTCTACCTTTCGCCATCACAGTCGTCTGAGAGGTGAATTGTTGGCAAAGTTTCTGCGCGCGAAAAAAGGGTGGCGCAGAATTGGTACTGGGAAAGAGACTAGCTAGTAGTTAACATTTGCCAGTTTGCCACCCTCACCGCCTCGGATAAAGACTTATTTTACGGAAAGTTAGAACTTTACTTATCTTACTGGCTAACGATTTCTCGTTTAAGTGGAACATATATACTTGGATTTTCGATCGTAAATAGATCAACCTGACAAAGTCGTTTTTTTTTTTCTATATTGTAACAATAATGGTGGTAAAAACATGTGTTAGTCCATGGATAATTGGCAATTTGTTTGACAATTGTGAATTGTGGTAATATATAACAGTGTTAATTAGAATTTTGAAGTGAAATGCATATATAGTCCCAAAGATTTAGGGTTGCATGAGGGATAGATGTTCACATAGTCATTTCATAATATTTTGCATTGATGGAACATCAAGACTCTTTACCCATATGGCCATATATTCCTCATTATATTGTGAACAGTGAAATGGTAGATGTATCTATCATTCTTTGAATTGATGAAGGTCAATTGAATGGAAATTACTCAAGATATATATATATATATATATATATATCTTTATCAAGAATTTAAAGAAATGAATTGAATTCTATCCCGCTACGGATTAGTTAGTAAGAACTTTCTTTCTGCATAAAAGGGCTTTAGGTGGACAGAGGAGCTGTAAAATATATAATGTGAGAAGATTATCATGTTGTTTTGTCAGAAATTTTGTTTGATTTCCGTGATTCCTCACTCTTTTGGAGCAAGAAGATAAGTTAGTGTTTGCTTCTGAATTTTTTATTTTTTATTATTTTTTTATTTTGTATACACTTCCGTCTTTAACTATCCAACAAACAAACATAAGAAATAAAACAAAAATCCAATCCTGTCAATTCAAACATATCATTACAAGAAAATTTTTTTAAAAAATATTTATAAAATAAAAGCTAGCTAATTAGCTAAATTCAATTTCATCACAAGTCACAGCATGCTGCCATTATTGATCAATATATGTAACGGCAAACAACAATGAGGTTACTGGGGTACATTGTTTCCAGAAGACACCAAAAAGGGTCCTTAAACTATTCGAAAAGGAAACCTTTTCGGTTAAGTATGTTATCAAAAAAAAAAAACTTTTTAATTTTTTTTTTCATTTTTACACTATTGAAATTATAATTTGAGACACTTTATGATGTGACGTAATAGATCAGTTTCCAGATAAAAGGTTAGGCCATTTAATTTGTCCACAAAGGGTAAGGAATAGCCACACACACCCTTTCATGTTCATTACTCAAATTTGAGGTTTGGGACCAGCACCACCAAGGATAAAAAGCACTCATTCTTGTTCTCCTTAAGCCAATTTAATTTGTGGAATATATATATATATATATATATATATATATATATATATATATATATATATAAGTTCACAAAGTTATAAGTGACAACCTAGCGAATTAAAAGCTTGTGGCTACTCGTGTGTGTGTGGGGGGGGGGGGGAGGGGGGTCAATAGGATGGGGAATATAATACGCGGAAAAGGAACTAGTTACACGCAATAAATAAGTATTATACACTTCTTTGTGTTGAAATCTCTAACTTATCATTCCTTAAGGTCTGCTCCAAATATAGTAAGAGATGATTGTCTAGAATACGCAAGTATATTAAATGTAATTTTAAAATTAGAATAATAAGGTTATGTTTCAAATCCCTAACTTATCATTTCTTAAAATCTGCTACAAGGGAGAAGGTTATATTGTCTAGATCGGATATGCAAGTGTCTATAACGGAGAAGGCCGGTTATATTGTCTAGATTGAATATGCAAGTGTTTCAAACATATATGACGAAGCTAAAATATGTTCAAGGGAGTTGAGAGAATCAATGCCCCACACTGAGGTTCAAACCTGAGACTCTCATTTGAGGGGTCATAACTATAGAGAGTAGCTCTATCATATACAGGTTAACGTGTCAAAGGCCTTGTGGTCGAGCGAAAGGAACTAGTTACACGCAATAAATAAGTATTGTACACTTCTTTGTGTTGAAATCTGTAAGTGTAAAATAATTTACACAATATTCGCTATTTTATTTTTACTTTCATTAGCTTAAATTAAATTAGTGTTGTTAGAATTATTTCTTTCTTGGACCATGTGATTACAAAATAAGTGGATGACATGCATTGGTGAATAAAGACTACGGATGAAGCTTTCAAAGAAGTAAATTTGTGGCTGTGGCTTATTCGAACAAGGGAGAACAAGAAAATAGGGCTACTTTTAGGGATCACAAAGGGAGCTCATGAAGTATTATAAAAAGCTGCTGTTCGAATGAAGACATTGCCAATTTTGATCCTACAAATTACGAGAGCAATTCTGATTTACAAAGCTATCCATTTTAATGTGGTTCATTATTTAATTCTTTAAGAATATTTAATATGTACTACATGATCAGTACGTGGTACTGCTGAAGCATCTTGTGAAGATTGTTCGGGTAGTCGTGTGTCAGTCCTGAATATGTGTTAGAAAGAGTGGTAGTGGTAAAGGCTGGAGGCCGTCTTCATTTATCTCTTGTAATACTCCTTTTGGTGAACATCTATAGTGGATTGGGCAGACGTGGGTTGCCCCGCAGACGTAGGAGAAGGAGCTCCGAACTGCGTAACAATTTCTTTGTGTTTTTAATTTACTTTATGCTTTCTGCAGTTATTATTTACACTTGATTAAACAAGTCTAATTAATTAACGAAACTGGTGCATAACTTAATTAACAAGTAAAAACGCATAGCTTCTATATTTCAAGTGTCACAGTGCAATTTCAAAATCTCTAACTTATCATTCCTTAAGGTTTGCTCCAAATATAGTAAGAGATGATGATTGTCTAGAATACGCAAGTATATTGAATGTAATTTTTAAATTAGAATAATAAGGTTATGTCTCAAAACCCTAACTTATCATTTCTTAAAATCTGCTATAAGGGAGAAGGTTATATTGTCTAGACCGAATATGCAAGTGTCTATAACGGAGAATGCCGGTTATATTGTCTAGATTGAATATGCAAGTGTCTCAAACATGACGAAGCTAAAATATGTTCAAGGGAGCTGAGAGAATCAATGCCCCACACTGAGATTCAAACCTGAGACTCTCATTTAAGGGGTCATAACTATGTCGCTCGACCACAAGGCCTTTGACACGTTAACATGTATATGATAGAGCTACTCTCTATAACTTTTTAATTAGAATCATAACCGGTACCTTATGTCAACAAATTTAATTTCAAAATTAACACAATCAGTGAATCACATTACTCACCTTTTAATTAACTTTTGAGTAACTCTCCTTTTAATTGCTTCATGCTTATCATCTAATCCATTTAAATTTTATTCAGTTGACATTTGATTAATACAAAAAGATAATCATCCGGTTAGGAACCATGATGGCATGTATCAATATCTTAATTATGAGTTCATCCTTAACTTTTTTATTTTTCACCACTTCTAAGGCCTCTGATCTACTAATTTACACATCATCAATTATATTAATCCACTAATCCTAAAGAGCTTAGAATTGTATATAGTTATATATATACATTACCCTTCATATCATGAGTTTCTTTGGGGTTTAGGTGGATTCTCTCTCGGTGAAATCCGCCTTGTTGTAATATTAAAGGACAAATTAAAGAACCACAAGAAAGTAAATTAACTTAGGTTGTCCATAGCTAACAGTCTCAAATCAAGGACAATATCTAGTTCCTACGGATAGTCAAACTTGAAAACTTTGTGGTTACTATGGTAATTGTCCGACCAACTTAGCTGAAGGTTACTCCCACTACTTTTAGTTTAAATTTTTAGTTGAGACGGAACACATCAAAAAGCTAAGCAAGTGACTCACACAATCTTTCAAATTTATAGCTAACATGATACATAATACTAAACGTAACGTACAAGTTACTCTCTGAATATTCGGTCTACCCATGAATTTTTTCACCTATTTTTTCTAGTGAAAATAATTTGGGTGGGTTTAAATTTGATATATAGTGTATATGTACAAAATTAACTATATGTTGGAATATATGTCCACAACATCATCTTGCTCGTGACAAATACGTTTCCTCACCACCACCGACTGTAATGATTGTACAGCGTTTTCTATAGCTACACATATCTCATAATTCATCATGTATGTATGTACTTAAAACATATAATACCCAGACATATATAGGAATTGATTGGGATTGAAAACGGGGCTATATCCCGTTGCAACGCCCCCGGTTTCGATTTCCCAGGCGTTACGTTTTATCAACTTTGCATAATAAATTGCAACGCATTTGAAGTAACCCGTAATGTATGTATGTGACTTAATTATATGTATACCTTGTGTTTTTTTCCCCGTTTTAATTAAATAGATCATTATTATTAAGTAATTTAAAAATAACTATGGATTATCACTCATTATATTATTATATTATATAACTGTCAATGACCTTGTGGTTTAGTGACATGAAGTGAAGGTCATCATGAGTTTAATCCCCGCGGTATTGACTCTTTGTGCTTCAGTAGGTTGAGAAAGTAATTCAGTATTCAATATTATTGACTCTTTATGCTTCAGTAGGTTAAGAAAGTAGTTCAGTATTCAATATTGACCCTTTGTGCTTTAGTAATTTGAGAAATTAGTTATAAACCGATACTAAATTATAATAGAATCAATAGTACTAAAAAAAAGTATATTATATAACTTCTATTTATTCTGTAAAAAAATCAATTTAATAAAATATAAATTTCAACTTATATAAAAGAAGTAGGGACTCTAATCCCCATATATAAACTCAATGTTTGGAGGCTTGGAGCTAGAATTATAGTAACACTAAGCAACAACATCATCATTAAC